AAGCCCCCTCGGCCCACCCCGTAGCTCCCCCCGGGTTACTCAACGTGAACAAAAAAATGATCAAATACACCAGATGCGCCTCCGTTTTTGGCCCTCTCCGCAGCTGCGAGATGATGAGGTTCAACCCTCCGGCGGAAATTTCCTCCGATCTGGAAAGGAGACTTGAGGAATTTGTCCGGAGGAACGCGCTGGTGCGAGGCACTTTGAGGAGATGTCAAGGTACGGAGTGGGGGTAGGAGAAGTCCTCACGCGCCTGAAATTTTGGGGAGAAAATGGGTTCTTGCGTGCTGGCTGCTACTGCAAAACCCACCTAAAAATGTAAATAAATGCAGCTGGAATTTTTAACCGGAGAAGGACACTGACAGGTTGTTTTTTTCCCCGGGGCTAAAAAGTAGTTGGGAAGTGGGGAGGAGGGAAAAACAAGGCACATAACCCTGATTCCGTGAAATCTCTCTCCTCTTTAGACAGCCTGATGTTTACATTGCAAGAGCCAAGTAAGTCAATGGTTGCGGGTGGGAGACACTGGGGGGGTCGGAGTTTTGGCTGGTGGGAGCGATTCCCGTGGGGAAAAAACATTGCGGTATCCCCAGGGAGAGGGAGGGAGGGGCGACAGCATCCTGTTGTATTCCAGGGTCTGGGATAGGGTCCTAAGAAATCAAGTACCCCTCCGGGACCTAAAAAAAAGGAACATCCAAGAAGAGCATTTGTGCTTCCCTGTGAATTTTCCACCATCCCCTCTCCGTGTCCTCTCCCCCTTCTCCTTCCACCCTGGAGCATCCTTGCTGGGGGTCCCCAAGGTTAGGGTCAGCCCCAAACCTGCCCATATCCCCACCCCATAAAGCATCCGGAGCTGGGAGAAGCAGGAGAGCGGGTCTAATCCCGGATGTTGAGTGGAAAATAAATATCTCCGGCCTCTCCCGGGGCCAAAAATTACCCCCGATCCACCGGTTGTCCCTCATCCCGCAGCCCATGTGACCCTGGACCCATCCACGGCTCATCCCAACCTGCACCTCTCCGAGGACCGAAAACAAGCCAGGGGCCAGCTGACGCCGCAAGACCTCCCGGATCACCCGGAGAGATTTGACTTCGAACCCTGCGTGCTGGGCTGCGAGGGCTTCGCCTCGGGGAGGCATTTCTGGGAGGTGGAGGTGGGCCAAGGGGGTGTCTGGGCCCTGGGGGTGGCCCGAGCATCGGTCAAGAGGAAAGGACCCATGAGCCTCATCCCCAAGGAAGGGGTCTGGGCGCTGGAAGCTTATCACTCCCTCACATCCCCCCGTGCCAACCTGCGCCTGAACCCGCTTCCCAGGAGGGTCCGGGTCTCCTTGGACTACGACGGGGGGCGGGTGGCATTTTTCAGCGCAGACGACGACGCTCCCGTCCTGGATTACACCAGAACCTCCTTCAACGGGGAGAGGGTCTTCCCTTGGTTCAAGATGGGGATAGGGGCTCGTTTGCGAGAAATCACCCAAAACCCACCCTCGGAGGGCCAGTTGGGGACCGGGCAGCTGATATCCCCCCTGGACTGGGTGGGATTCGGGGCTCCCCTCCGAATCTGCCCTTGAGCTGTCCGTCAAGCGAAAGGGATGTCCCACCAGACGTTGGCTGCGGTCGCTCGGAGCGTCTCGCCGAGGGAATTTGCTGCTCCTCTCCCGTGTCCGTCTCCACTGGGAATTTTGGGATGGCACCTCTACAGCAAGGCCGGGGGGGGGACGGGGTCAAAGACGGGGAGATGGGATCAGCCGGGTCGAGGTGTTGGAGTCGGATGGGAACGTCGAGGGGTCGATCAAGAGAGAGCCCTCGGGGCTTGCAAGCGTGTGGGTTTTTTAGGTTTATTTTTGCCTTTAAGGGGCCAAATCCTCCTGGTTTTGTCTCTTTCCAAAGTGTTTTCTTCCTGACATCTGTTGCCAGGCAGATCCAGGGTCTGTTCTGCCAAGGGAGGTGGATTTCACTACAGACTGGTTTGGCTTGGGGAGCCGGTCTCCGTCTACATTTCCGACATTTATTTTAAATAAAATAACTTTTTTTCTGCTTTCTCCCTATTTCTAGGGAGAAATTTTTCCCTATTTCTCCCTGCATTTCTTAGCTTTTGGGTCATCTGCATGGGATGGGGACACCTCGTGCGTTTTTCCACCTTCTCCTGGGGGACCTCCAGTCCCTCCAGCCCCCTTTTTAGGCAGCGAGGGGAAGCAAACCCCACTGGAATGCCATTTTCCACACCATTATACCATACTTCCTGGCTAACTCCCCAAAAAAGCCTGTTTCTCCCCATTCAGGAGGGACAAGATGGGGTGAATCGTGGCGGGGGTTGTGCCGGTTAGATATTCCTCGGCTGTGAACGCGGCTGGAGTGGGCGGTGGAATACAAATTCTGGCGTTTTCGCTCAACTCACCCACATCGATTCCCTCAAAAACTGCTGGTTTGCTTCTGAGGGAACCCAAAAGAGGAAGAAACGGCACCGAAATGAATACACGTTATCGATTATGGAACCGAGAAGAGGAAGCAGAAGCGAGAGTGGGAGGGGGCGGGCGGCGTTGGGCTCAGAATAACAGACAAGATATGAATGGGCGCCCCGTGACGGAGCCCCCACCCCGCGTGCGGACCCACGGCCGGTATTTCGGTGCCATTTGTCACGTCGTGACATCTCTCCATCCACGCTCCTCAGCCCGGTGGTCCCGTCAGTTGGGGGGGATCCCGCTGTAGGGGAGACATCTGCGGAGCCAACCCCAAATCACCCCCGGAGCTCGAGAGTGAGGGTTTGTTTAAAAAAAGGGGAAATCGGGGTTTCTGGGGAAGAATTTTGAGTGAACAGACTTGCATATTTTTGCTCTTTCTCCCTTCCCACCCCCTTTCCCTCATCTCCGAGGGGGAGGAGCACGATCCTATGTCACCTCTGTTGGTTCCATGTCCTGACACCGATTCAAATGGGAAAGGAAAGGCTGGAATAGACAGGCTGTCAGTGCAAGAAGGACCAAAGGCAAAAATCTGGGTGAATCCCAGGAAAAGCTCTCTCAAGCTGATCTTGAGGGATGTGGTTGTGGCTGGAGGTCCCCCAAACACCACGGTCCCACCACGCTCCTCTTAAAGGCACCCACGGAATGAGACACGCGGTGCCGGATCCCAGTCAAACTCCAGAGGGAGAGATCCCTCCTCCAATGTTTTTCTTGGACACGGGTTCTCTCCTCATCTCTCATCTCCACCCAGCTCTCCCCCATCTCCAGCTCCCCTCCAGGGCATCCCTTCCCTCTGGAAATACGCGATGCAGATGTCCCCAGCCCCAGCTGGTTTTCCAGGCTCCGCAGACGCTTTCAGGGCGCGACTCGTTTGCCCAACCGTCGGCTCTTAATTCTGAAGATGAAAGGAGACACGCCCCAGGCTCTGCCGACGGCACGGAGCCGCTCTCCGATGGCGGAGATGTCTCCTTAGATGCCGACATTCCCTCGGCACCCACCTCCTGTGTCTGGCAGGAGCAATTGTCTCCCGACCTGCCCACCCCACGCTTCCCTGGGAAGCAGTTGTAGGGTGTTTTGCTTCCAGTCCTGCCGTTCCCAGACTCCCCTCCGGCTTTTCCTAGTGGGAATATCTTCCTGGATATGAGGCTTGCGTCTCTTGGCCAAGGGATTGGGGCTGGGGGAGTCGGTAGCCCTTCAGCTGGGTCACAGGGACCCTGCCTCTAAAATTCCCAGCTGCTGCCATGGAAAACAAATATATTTATCCATGGAATTTAACACAGGAGCAGCGGGTTATGAATTGCTTAGAAACGTTTCCCTGTGAGCTCGGAGATGTTACTTGGAGGGTACGTAGGGATGGGTGGATGTCCATGGCAGGGGTCCCAAGGACCCCAACTCGCATCCCTTTACGTGCATTGGGTTGCGGCCGTGCTTCCAGCACCTCCAAGGTTCTGGTTCCACATTTCCCTCCCTCTTTTCCTATGCTTTCCCCTCCCATGGTCCCACCAAAACTTCAAGAGCTCCTCATCACCCTCCCGGCAGGATTTTGCCTCCAGCCCTTTCCTGGGAGGTCCGATGGGTTTTGCCCAGCCCTAAGAGCAGAGGGACAAAAGCAGCCGGAAGCCCTCAACAGCTTCCCAGGATAAAAAGCTGGAAGGTTGACAAGGGAGAAACACAATGCTCCCAGCAGATCAGTGTCACCCCCTCCAGCCCGGGAGGCATGGGACCAGGAGCTGACTCGCAGGCTCGACGCATCCGTGCCGCAGTTTTACCTGGGAACGGGAAAGAGGAGGAAGAGAAAAATCCAGCCCCATCAAAGAGATAAAACCAACAGGTTTTTTTAGTTCACTTCAGAAGAAATTCAGGTGGATATCGAGTTTTCGGAAGGAAGAGAGGGAAGGTCTCCGAGGAAGGACGGCTACCCTGGAGTGCCGAAAACTGGAGGAGCTGGTAGGTGTCAGCAACCCCGTCCCTGGGCATGAATACACCAATTTTGGGGTCATTTCTTTAGATCCTTCCCCCACCCCACCCTCCCCATTTCTCCAGGAATTCAAGACCAGTTAGGAGACATTTGTGTTCCCAGTCGACCTCCTCCTGTGGGAAACACCTTTCCACAAATTCCACATGGTGTTTTCCCACCCCAACCACTCTGTTTGGATCTTAAAAGGGGAGGGGGTAGAAGCTGAGCCCCGGCAGACCCCCTGCTCAGATTTTAGGCACCTGCTGCAGATCCCAGGAGCTCTTCTTGCTCTCACAGCTGGAAGACCTGAAAAATGAGATTGAGAAGAGACAGGCAAAAAATGCTGCCAAACTCCCGGGGGAGGTGTCCCAGCTGGATACCCCGACCAAAGGGCGGGAAGAGAAGAGTCAGAAATCGGTGAGTGGATTCATCCGGGTGAGAATTTGCAGCTTTTCAAAGGAAAACTGGAGGGAAAGTCCGCAATGAGTTGGGCGTTCCTAGTTCCAGTTTGCTCCTACTCCATCTGTATCCCTGAAACCACCAAGGTGAGGAGGAGCGGGAGACGGGCAGCCTGGAATGATGGGGGGGGGGAAGAAAAGAAGGAATACAATAGTTGTGGGGAACGGCGAGGGGCTGGTGGTTCCTCGTGGGATGGTGGTTCCCTATGGGATGGGGAGTGGAGCAGCAGAGCCCCGGGACTCGGCATCACCGGGTAGGTCCATGGAGCGGATCCGCAGCATCCATGGCCATGCTCCTCCTAAATACCCCCAGGACTGAGCTTAAATAGAGCCCCTGAGCCAGGTAAAGGGATGGGTGGGGGTCTCGGGTGGGGTTGATCGGGGTCATTAATACCTATTAGTGCCTGCTGGGGATTTGTAGGGGTCTAATGGGGTTATGGAGCAGAGAGAGATGGGGTTTTGGAGGTGAAGCAACTGTGACAGCTTGCAGCAAGCTAATTTTGGGGGAAAAAATGCTTTTCTTGCAGCCATGGTGCCAGCTTGGGTCAGGGTCCCTCTAGAATCAGGCATCCCTGTGTTTTTTCGGACCTCGGCTGGACACATCCCTGGGCAGAGGGTTGGAGCAGAGACCCGAGAGGTCCATCCCGAACCGAACAAGCCAGCGTTGCCGTGATTTAGGGAGAAAAGCTCACACTGAGGTGCCTTTTCTCTTTCTCCTTCCCCCAGGATGTGAAAAGCTCCATCAGCAGGTACGTGGCCTCGTGTTCCACGAGTTTTTTCGGAGGGTGGCGACCACGGAGGAGAAAACCCGTTGGCGGCAAACAACAAGAGTCTGGAGGGGTATTTTGGGAGTCTACGTGCACATCCCTGCTCTTCCCAAGGGATTCTCTCTTGGCCGCTTCTGGGGATGTGCTGATTAAGGGCGATTTAGCCTCAAAACGGCCTCCGCGTGGCAAAGGCTAATTGTCCCGCGAAGTCTTGGCTCTAGCACAGTCCTCTTGAGCTGAACCTTTCTCAGGGTTTATGTAAAAATTCAAATTTAAAATAAAGGTTAATCCAACTGGGAAATTTGGCCTTTCCTTGAGGGTTGGGTTTCCAACGGGATGAGATTAAAAAAAACCCCAACATCCTAGCGATACCATCTCATTCCCGGTGGCATCAGATTTCCCGAAATGACGACAACTGCGCCGAAAAACGTGGGTTGCTTTATTTTTCCCCTTCTCCCAGGTGTGGGAAAGTGACTTTCCAGCTGCCAGCGGATGTGTCTCCGGAGTCGGAAGAGAGAGTCTGTCACTTCTCCTGGAGGAACAGTGCTCTGAAGGAAACTCTGAAGAAGCTACAAGGTACGGAGAAGGGAT